AAGAAACAGAGGGAAGATGGGCGCAGCAATTGGAGTGATGCATCTACAAGCCAAGGAACACAGAAGATTGCTAGCAACCACCAGGAGCTAGGAAGAGGGAAGGAAGGATTCTTTCCTAGAGCCTGTAGGAGTATCATGGCCCCAAGGACACCTTGATTTCAGACTTCTAGCTTCCAGAACTATGGCAGAATAAATTTCTGTTGTTTTAAGCCACGCATGTTGTAGTCATTTGTATAGGAAACTAATATGGGAAGCATGTAAAAAAGAGAACACTTGCACAAATATGTATTGCAAAACATTTAACTTTAACATTCTCCTTTAGGCCGATCTAGGAATCTAAGTTAGATGAGCAAGCACAAGCTAACTCTTCACTGGTGGAAAACTGCACAATTGCCATGCATTCGTTCAGACTGAAAAATAAAGAGAAAGAAAAATAGAGGGAAAAAAAGAGGAAAATACACATCTATTTATTTTAATCATTCTGCTACAGTGACAATTCTTGTAACATTTCATGACTGCATTAGTTAGATCCCTGTCTCTGTTCTCTTTTGTCTTGATAGCAAAGAACCAATCTTTGTTGTGTAGACATTTATTTTCACAAATGCTAAGGAACAGCTCAGTTTAGACTCTCAGAAGCCTCATATGGAATTGCTCTTCTAGGACTGTAGGGTACGGTCAACAGCATTTTTTTTTTTTTTTTTAGAGACGGGTCTCGCTCTGTCTCCCAGGCTGGAGTGCAGTGGTGCTATCATAGCTCATTGCAGTCTTAACTCCTGGCCTCAAGTGATCCTCCCGCCTCAGCCTCTGAGTAGCTAGGACTATACTCGCATGCCACCACACCCAGCTAGCATTTTAAATTTGATGGATATATACCTCAATTCATCACATTATCTGTTAAATGGGGATTATAATAGTAGTATCTGCCTCCTAGTGTTGCTGTGAGGATTAAATGAATTCATATTTACAAATCACTTATAAAAGTGCCTGGCACATAATCATTATATTAATCATTGCATTCATTTCTTTCTCTTGTAATTATTGGAAGTTTATTTCCACTGAACTGTGAGTTCCTCTAGGATAGGTACTATGCCTGTTTCATTTTCCTATCCTTAGCACGTAGTACCATGTCTGGCAGATAGTAGGTCCACAGCAAGCATCTGTTGCCTAAAAGGCACTATCCAGCAGGCAGTATGAAATTCCATCTGTGAGCCTTGGAGAAGGAAAGCGGATGGAAAAATAAATATGAGTCCCACACACAGACATTTAAGCTTGACAATGGGCAAGACTGCCAAAGAAGAGAGCATGAAGGGAAAAGAAATAGAACACTGAGGCAAGACTGATGGCAGGAGATGAAAAGAGATAGAAAAGGAGCTCTGAGAGGGATATCCTTTGAAGGAAGCCATGAAAAGAGTTCAAGGGAATTGAAGTGAGGCCAAAGGAAAGGCTGTCTCAAAGGTGCAGTATGAAAAATATGTGGTTAACAAGCAGCTGACTGAGGTTAATTTTTTCTTTCTTTCTTTTTTTTTAAGTCTCAGAGGAAGGAAATGGCATTGCATAATGGTTTTCTAAAACTTGGCAGGCTTTCAAATGTGGGTCCCTTTCTGCCTTGCCAGTAAAGTCCAGAGAGCTAGGGAGCAGGGAAAAGGAGGGTCTAGGTCTTTCCAAGATGCTGCTTCTCAAGAAAATTGTAACGAAGTCACGCTATATCTTCACTCACAATATGAGATAAAAAATTCAAATAAAATATCAATTTTTGCCTTTCATTATTTCACTTAGGCTGGTAAAGCAGGATTGATGTTTTTGCCAGGTAGACGAAATTATCAGCATCAGGTTTTTATCTGAAATATCTCCCTCATATACACTTGAATCTCAATAGAGTTCCACTACTTCGGGAGATGGAATAACAGGTTTTCCAAGTTTTTCCTGACATGGTTTCGGTTATTACAAACGACCTGGGATCCCTACTCCTCTTTAAAAGATGGGCAAGAAAAGAGAATCAGTATCAATATTTGAGAAAACTGTTTTTTAAAAATAATAGGCGTCACTTTTGTGTTTAAAATTTTTTTTTTACATAAATTTGAGGAACTGAAAACTTCTAAGCAATAAAATAAGCCCACGTGAATACACCAAACAAGACAGATATTTACTTTCACAACATATGGTCTTCTGAGGTTTTTCCTATTAGATGGAGAAAAATAGGTCCTGGGCAGTTGACGGAAAGAATGAATCAAGCACCATTTTAAAGAGGGTTTTTTCATATTTAAGTGAAGGAGACTCTGTTTAAGGCTCTACTACAGGACCCACTTTAAGCAAGTAGCTCCCTAGTCTGCGGCTCAAATGTTTACAACTGTAAAATAAGGGAAAAGGCTAAGGAGATGAGCTTTCAAACTCCCCTCCATCTCTCGGGTCATTTCATAATGTCTCCCCCTTCTTTCACGCTACTTTCCTAGAGGAGAAAAAGCTGTTAAATTAATTCTTTGGATAGGAAAATAAGCAGAGCAGGCAACCTTGCCCCGAGCATAAGGAATAGGGAAGACGGATGCACAGGGGCCCAGAAACCGAAGGCCTCAAGCACCTGCACCGCCAGCCCCACCCACTCACCGCCTCGCCCCCCTCCGCCCCGGCCTGGAGCCGCAGCCCAGGGACCAAGATGGCGTCAGCACGCAGGGTCTAGCCCGCGCCCCCCCGTGACTCCGCACTGCGGCAGCCCAGGCGAGGCCGCTCCCCATTGGCCGACTGTGATGAGGTCATTGTGGGGGCGGCACTGCCGGCGGCGCAGGGGTGGGGCTTCTCGGGAAGACGCACGCACGTCGAGTCGCTGCTGCCCGGAGTTGCGGAGGCTGCGGGCTTAGCTGCGGCGGCTGCTGTGGCGGCGGCGGCAGGTGAGCTGGGGCTGTGGTTACAGGGCGACGGGCAGCGGCCTGCGAGGGACGCAGGAAACCCTTCTAATAGCCCCCTCGGTTTTCAAAGTAATTAGCAGGGATCTTAAGTCTCCGAGAGAAAATGGGGGTCCACCCTCCTTTGGGCACCCCTCCTCCAGCCAGGGGAACCGGAGGCTCACTGCCCCTTGGAGTCCCGGAATTCCTCCCCCCATTTAAGGGGTAGGCAGAAGAACTGAAGGTTATTGGGTAGGCAGAAGAATTTGGGGGCTTCTTGTAGGGTCTCCCAATTTGAGGATTCCCCCTTCCCTTTTTTCCCCACCCCCGGAGGTAGACATGGCTGGGGACAGAAAATTCCTGCTTTCTCACTGGTTAGACAGGAAATGAACCTGGTGTATACCTTGTTAGGAGGCGAGGACTGGATGGCAGTAGTGTGATTTCTTGAGGCTGGACACAGGGGACACCGTATTTGGGCTCATATTTTGCAGAGTTGTTGTTTCTTCGTATTTTGTTTTGTGACCCCCTGAATGGCTTTGGCCTGATTAATTTTCTATTTGACTCCAGTGCTATAGAGATAATCTAGGGAGACCTGTAATCATTATAGGACAGGAGCAGGGAGGCAGCTCATTGGAGGCTGTCATTATTGGCAGTCCCTGAACTGTGCTGATCAGGCATAATTATATGTGTTTAGAGGTTGTGGTATCTACCTTTGTTGAAGGGTGGTGCCGGTAACAGCTGACTTGGTTGATTCATATATACGCAGTCCTAAAGTCAACCTACATAATCCTGAGAAATCCTTACGTATATCTGAGCTCATTGTTTTGCTGCCTTGACTATCAGATGCACAAAGGTTTTGTCCGTTCCAGTTTCTCAAAATGTCTCCCAGGCTTCCAGAAGAGTAAATCTTCCTTTGATGGCAGACTCACCTACTAATACTGAATATGGATGCCCTTCTAACACTAAAAATACTTTACATTTTGCTGAGTTTAGAAATTGTACAGTCTGTGCCTTGCATTAGCTGATTGAGAATAAATAATTGCAGTTTCAGGACCACTGATAGCGCCAATTGTCTCTTATACCCGGCAGCAGTAAGACAGTCCTAAAACGAAACCTTTATTGGCTCATGCTTGAGAAGATTTGACAGATGGAAGAATATAATTAATCTTGAAGGTGGTGAGGATGAGAAACAGAAAGCTGCAGAGGTGGAAAGCTTATTCTCTGCCGCTTGATAAAACTGCTTTGTCATTATCAATGTGTTCCTGTCATGCTTGATTTGAAATTGAGCTTAATATGCAAGCTGGTTACTTTTTTCAGATAATGGTTATTTGTTTGGATTCCTTAGGGGAGCAATGGTGTTCTCTGAAGAGTTTGGAAGGTTAAACCTTTTAATGTAGCCATAGCTTTAGGATAATGTGGGAACTCTGGGCTGTTAGAAATGGGCATTGTCAGTAGAGGGGAGAAAACTAGTCACAAGGCAGACATCTTTTATGAGAGGGTAATTAAGGTCTCTTCTCTTCTGTTTGTTTCCTGCACTAGCAAAAAAAGATTGGGCAGTGTGAATGTCAGGGTGTTGTGTCCTGGGTATTTAAAGAGCTGTTTGGGGTTCCCAGTTCCTGTCTTTAATCTGGATACATTCTTATGTATTGAGTTGCCCCAAATATTGTCATTTGATCCTGATGTTGACTGCAAAGGAAGTGACTTTTCATCTGGCACTCTGTGGGACAGGATTCAGTAACTGCTTTTGCAGTTTCTCCTTTCCGTCTTTCTAAGCAAGATGTCAAAACAATTGTTAAAGACCTGTCATCATGAGGTGGAAGAAATGAAATTGCAAAATCAAAGAGTTACGTCATTTTCTCTTTTGCCTCAGGTTGGAGAGAAATCCAGGTACTTAGTTGACTGGTACCTTCTGCCACCATGGGGGAGCTTTTCCGGAGTGAGGAGATGACACTGGCCCAGCTTTTTCTGCAGTCAGAAGCTGCTTATTGTTGCGTCAGTGAATTAGGAGAACTCGGAAAGGTCCAGTTTCGTGATGTAAGTAGTTGTGGGGCTGCTTCTTGATTACTTCTGAACTGTTTTTCCTGTCATGGCCCATTGCTTTATGATGAATGTTTTGGTTTTTATTTGCAAAAATAACATTATAGCACTGGCTTACTATTGGTAGAGTGTACACTTTGAGTTGTCTTTCTAGAGGTGAGAATATTTTATGTTAATCCTTCCATACTTTTGCTAACTCCGCCTTTGAGAGCCATCCTAAACATTCTCAAGGTAATTGTTGGGATACAGGGAGAAGATACCAAACTAACCTGTTCAAGGCTTTAACTTTGCTCTGGGGGTCCTTAATACCTATAGCAGGATTTTTAAAAAAATTATTGTAGTTCTTTCATACAATAGGACATTTTTTAAAAAATAAAATCTGAGGTATCAAGCTATAGATATACAGTATATAAGTAAGCATGTGCTGAATATCCATTATTTTGGAGCATTATGCTGGGAACTCGGAGAAGATCTCAAAAGAAAATGGACAGTTTAAGAGTGAAAAAAGTGTGCCTTTTGGGTCTTGTGATCTGGTCAGGAAGGCACAGTGTACACTGCTGAAAAGAGGGGGCAGTTAACAGTTCGGTAGTTCCTGACTTGGTCAGATCCTCCTGTTATGCAATCCTAACGCTCCATATATCTCTCTTTCATAGCATTCATTCTGGTCGTGATTTTACCTTTATCAGAGTGTATAGTTGATTAAAAATCTCTCTCCTTCACTATGATCAAAGCACCGTGAAGACAGGGACATTCTCTGGTTTCACTTATTATTGCATCCTTAGTGCCCACTCAATCAGTATTTGTTGGAATGAATGGATGAGGCCGGGCGCCCTGGCTCACGCCTGTAATCCTAGCACTCTGGGAGGCCGAGGCGGGCGGATCGTTTGAGCTCAGGAGTTCGAGACCAGCCTGAGCAAGAGTGAGACCCCGTCTCTACTAAAATTAGAAAGAAATTAATTGGACAACTAAAAGTATATAGAAAAAATTAGCCGGGCATGGTGGCGCATGCCTGTAGTCCCAGCTACTCGGGAGGCTGAGGCAGAAAGGATCGCTTGAGCCCAGGAGTTTGAGGTTGCTGTGAGCTATGATGACGCCACGGCACTCTAGCCCGGGCAACACAGTGAGACTCTGTCTCAAAAAAAAAAAAAAAAAAATTTTTTGGCAAGAAAACTATGCATATGATACTGTGTCTTCAATATATCACATCAGAAGGCACATGATGTCATTTGTTCTGCTGTTGGTAAAGATAAATTTGATGACTTGATTAAAGTGTATTTACTAGTGTTCTCCATTGTAAAGGTGCTTTTTTCCCTTTGTGATTAATAAGTGACAGGGAGTGATACTTCGAGACTGTGCGAATATCCTGTTCCCCAGTAGCTGTTTACTTAATAGTTTTCTTATCCCTTGACTGAACCTTTTCCTCTATCAATTATTATGTGGTGCTTACAAAAATGATGATTTTCTAATTCTGTTATTCCTTCTACATTTATTAGTTACCATTCTTCCTTAATAAAGAGCTTTTCCCTCCTCCACCCTACTTTTTTCCTCTGAGAATTACTAGGAACTCGTGGATTTTTTTTTCTTGTTGTTTGTTAAATGTATTATAATCCTCTACTATCACTTTCTTTTTGATGTTCACATTGTTCCAAACTTGGCCAGTGGGCATGTATAAGTTTTAATGTAGTAAAATATATCTGTCTTTTTCTTTATGATTTGTCCTTTTTTTTTTTTTTTTCACGAGATAGGGTCTCACTGTGTTGCCCGGGCTGGAGTGCAGGGGTGTGATAATAGCTCACGGTAACCT